AATTATCGTAAACTTATAATTTTCCTTTCTTAAATAATAGTATTGTTATGTGGTTTTATTTTTTAAAATTTTAGAAGGGTCTTCGCAGTGTAGAATTTATTTTAAATTGTCAGTAAGGAAAATTATTATATTATCAGAGAGAACTAGTGTATTACATTATACAAAAATCATCAAATTTTTTACTATAAATTACAACACTTGTATCATCAGCAGATATTATGGGTTCTGATAAGACATTTATTGTTGGAGGAATGTAATTTTCGTATATTATGAAAAACTCTGGAATTGACCCATGGGAAACTCCATATTTTATTATTCCTCCACTTTGTGAAAAATTCAGATTGTCTTTATGTTATTTCATTTCGACCTTTTGTTTTGTATCTGTTATGATCTGAACAATTCTGCAGCTAATCCTTGAATTAAAAAAAAATATAATTTAGTTGACAAAATTTAATTTATTTACGTTCTCAAAAACTTTTACTGAATCACAGAATATTATTTTAAACACGTATTTTCTGTTAATAGCTTTTAATACATTTTCTTTTAGTTGTAATGCTACTTCTGCAGTGGATTCACCTTTCCTGAAACCAAATTGTTCTGGGAACAATTTGCTGTCGGGGTGCCCATGACGTCACGCCAGACTAGAGCCTGTTTCACTTTTACTTTCCGAAGTCAGAAGTCGCGAGGTGATGTGGGACCTACTTTTGAAGCAGGAATCCTGGCAAAAACACTTTGTGCTGAGTGCACCGTCTTAGTAACTCTTATGTCTGTTGGGAAACATCCTCTTGTATAGCTGGAGAATTAAGATGCTCCCTTGGTATGAATCCTGCGTCCTCAGTATCTCAGTATTCAAGAGAGGAATACAAAATTGTTGTAAGCCTCGATGCCCACTGTTTTGATTAACATAATATATTTGTTATCTTTACTGACGAAACCAACACTGTAATAATGTCAAGCTTCTACCAGACTACACTGCGCAACAACCCAGAAGACAGAACTCTTCATACTCACCGCCGTGAAAACCTAACCTCAAATCCTTCTGTAATTGTAGTAATAATATCTTTACGATAGAAATGATGAATAACAGATTATTTTCTTAAGAGAAACGGAGTGAGATCAAATTTTACAACCAGCAGAAGAACAACAACTGATGAGAAATTATTTTTATAAGGAGGGAATTTGCTTTCGGGGATAATCCGCTTCAATTGTTTAAGGTTTTTTTTTCAAATTCCTTACAGGGACAATCTGTGCTTAATATAAACATTGCGATCAGGAAGTAGCAAAGACTAGGAGTTGGTGAGTAAGAGTTTTGCGGAAAGGCCACTTCTGGGGGGGGGACGGCCAAGAAGAAGCTTGAACTATTAGAGTCAGATGGATCTTACGGAAACAGGTTTTGATTATGAAAGCTGTAACTAACTGGTTCGTTATCGCGTCCAGTGCACGGCTTTGGCATTTACGATGTCGGAATTTCGCGTAATGATTCAGAAAGTTTGCGAGTTTATCTACGTACATTGGGACCCCTGCTGGGATGGACGGACAAACAGGTAGTCACTCTGGTAAAATTAATTAAAGTGACGTCCGCTTGGCGCTGAAGTTTGCACGTTTTTCTAACGAAAGGATTTCAAGATTATGACATGGAACATTTTGCAACTGAATAGTAGAATCTTACCACAAAATAACAGCGAATATTGAACCTAGTTTACCCGTTTCTGTTTATTCTGTCGTTATATAAAAGTATCGGGAGATAAAATGGTACTAGCAATGTGGAGTTTCACATTAGTGTGGTGCTAAATTACGTCTGATCTTAGCGTCTTGTCCTTATCGGCTCAGGTAGAAAGTCTGCACGGGGTCCCATGACATCCTGTGCGTTCTGATAGCAGATCCAACACAAGTGCATTCAGAACCATTAACCACTTCAGAATCAACCTTCGCATTTACGTTCCATCTTCGAGCTCCGGGTGACTAATGACAAGCAAACTATTGGTTCCGGCTTAAGCCATATATACGACATTTTAACACTGACCTAGAAAATGCGATGTTTGTTGCTTAAACGCTGGGCCAATCCCTCTTCTGTGGCCAAGTTGGAATTATGTTCCTGGTTTTGCGCTGAACGAGAAACTTTTTTTTTTAAAATCAGTTTTTGCTAACGTAAATGGCACCGAGAGAATTATTGATACTGTTTTAATTTTCGTATGCGTGCCAAACACATCTGATTGGCGAATTGGTCCCGTGTCGCTGAAGTCTGGAGCGCCACTTGTTTCAAAATATTTCAAGGTTTCGATGTTCGACGTCGCTGACATAATCGTAACATTTTAGAGCAAAACTGACTGCTCAGATTTTCAGGTCATCAGCTGACTGACGGCACAAACTGTCATCATGTCCTCTTGGTTTGTCTGATGCTGAAGATTGTGTCAGTACAGAGGATTCTTTCAGTTTAAAAGTGTTCTGTCTCGATGTCGCGAGAGTCGACTTCCAACACTTTTTCGCTCTCGTTTTTTACTTTGCTGTGCAACGTTAAAATCATAAATGACAGTAAAAATTTTCACTTTGTTTAGTGGTCATCTGTACAGGCATTGTTCGCAGCTTAAACTGTCTTACTGAACTGTGTCACTTGATGCAAGAACCTACTTTCTGTTGTTCTTTTGACAAAACTGCTATTACAAACGACTCGATTATCGCAGATGGAATTTTTATCAAATAATTGGAGCAACTCAACCATCGCTGACACTTGTACACTTATCGTTGATGTCATTTAAAAAGTATCGAGCCAGCATCTTTACTTATTCTGCTTTAAACAGGTCTTTCATGAAACACTGAATTTTGCAAGGTTCCATGACTCGCATAATTAGACATGCAGAAAAAACGAATGTATTGTGTTCTTAACGAACGTCGTGGTTGAGTTGTTAGAGCTCTTACTTCGTATTCGGAAGGTCCTGGGTTCAGATATCGGCTAGGAGAACGGCTATCCTGACTGGGGTTTTCGTGGTTTACCTTATTCTCCCCAGATTTGTGACGTTGGATGTCGAAACAGGTCGCCACCGTTTTATCCCCTTGCAATTCGTGACCATTTCCATGCAATGTCCTTACATAACCTGCAATTTACCTTCCGTGAAGCCATCTCTTCTTCGAGAATTCTGTCTTACTGAGACGGCCTGATACAATGTGACGTCACTGATACGCCGAAAATCTCCGAATGATCATGAGCCACTCCCGTAACCCCCCGGTATTGTAAGTGATCGCTTCTCAGCGGTTTCAAAACCAAAATTACGTGTACTCCCCCCCTTGTCGACCATCTAAGCTACATGTCCAGCCCATCGTTCCCCTGACAAATACAAAGTCCTGACGAGACACAGAGCTGCACGAAATTGCAAATATTTCCGCGATCTTGTCAGCTGGAAATCGCAAGGTCTAGCCACTTCATAGCCGATTCGTGTTGTATTTTACTATTTATTTAATTTATTCTTTAATTACCGACTCTGTCACAGGCAAAGGCGTCGAACCATACGACGATTAACTACAGGGTGGGTGGGAAGTAAGTAGTCATTGAGAAATGGTTATAACTTCTATATTTCCAATGCATAGCGATTATTTAATGTCTACTTACTTCCCACCCACCCTGTAGTAGTGGATAGGGAAGGATATGGAAGGAAGCTGGAGCTGGTCCTTGTCGCGCGTTGATGCATTTCGGTTTCCGTCATACCAGTTCTGATAATGCATCGGAATATATCAGCTGGGGGGAGCAGGATATGAATTTTGGGGATATTATTAAAGCGGATAGATAAAATTATGTTATGAACAGGCGGACTGAAGTAAAGTGTCTTAAGAGACGATCCGGTGTTATGAGAGGCTTTTGCTTGCATTCGGAGTGTCGATTACCGTTTTTTCTGAGGTTTCTCGATGTCTTGTAGGAAAATCCGGTGGTATTATCGGCCACGGTAATTTCGTACGCGACCATTTTCGCTTCATGATACGTATTAATTTTTAATTGCACTCGTCACTAATTTGGGTCTAAGTAACTGTAAACATATTTGTTAAGTTACCTGCTGTCCGAATATTACGAAAATGACGTGTTGAATTATAGGTAATTTTCATAATTACGAAAATGACGTGTTGAATTATAGCATTGATTTAATATGGAACTCGTATTTAGTTACATTTATTTGTTGTGAGTGCGTCTGGAGCCCAAGAACGACGTTGCGGCAACGTGCTGGCTGGTCCGTCCTGTCGCTTTCCTCATGTGGAATCTGAATCAGTTCTATTCTCTTTACTGCAAGTCCCTAGGTTTGAACCAGTGGCTTCGATACGGAAATACGACGCCTAAATTTCTCTCATTTGTACATTTTTGCCCTATGATAAATAATTATCTTGTGTACGTATTTGTGACAATCTGTGATGTACTTTTCTTTCCAGTAGAATGTTTGAGAGTATTTTGCATGAGGCTGGTAGTTACATTGTGCTATTTTCTAACTGGAAGACAACCCATGCGATTGTAAACATTTGGACGTGATGAATTCCCATCTATTTGTCTTAATTCTGCTTAAATGTGGTTTCATCTTTTCAGTATAAATTTCAACTTTTTCGCTAGGGTCAATTGTGTTAAGTGTGGACTGCCCAAGAGAAATCCATACCTTGAAATCGCGAAATAAATTCGTCCAGTTATCACGTCTTAGGCGCCTTGCCCTGTCCTGCTTTAAACTTTGTCCTTAGACAAAGCGTTTGTCCAATTCTTCGAAGGGCCGTGAGTGGCCCTCGGACCAGCGAAATCTTGTGTCCTCACAGATAGAAAGAAAAAGAAGAATAATACGGACAAGCAACGGTGCCCAGGACGGGATTCGAAAGCGATCCCAAACCTACGCTAACACGACACGGAATGCGTTGATCAGTGACGCGTGGTAGTTCCCGCTCACTTGCAGATGATGTCGAGGGCGTTGCATCTGAAGAGTGAACGTGTGGAGAAAGGGGGGCAGTGGGACGAGAGGCAAAAACGAGAGAGGGAAATGGGAAGGAGCGAATCTTGTATATAACACGTAAAGTCTTGGCCAAGTTCAATCTCTACCGTTCAGTGAAGCAAGTATCACAGAGGCGGGTGGATTAACGCTTACCAACATGAAGCTTCTGGTAAGTGCAGCAGATTTTAGAAGGTCTCGAGCCACGGAGACTCGATTATTAAATTCGGTCAGTTTCCTAATAAATCCGTCAGGTTTTGTGCTTTATTTATTAAACTAAAACTTAAATATTACTTAACACGTTAAATTATAATTTTATCTGTTCTATTGGACGTGAAACTTCATCTCTTGCCCTGATCGAGGGTCCTCCAGAAATCGGTGACGAAAAATGTGCAGCTTAGTAAAAAGTTTTCTTTACCAAATTTTTTAGGGACATTAAATCAAGGCTGAAGCACGTATGCGAGAAACCAGAAATACATACAAAGTTTTACTCAATAAACGTAAAGGATATATCTTGGAGTAAATAAGATGGTAATAATAACGCAAATATATAAGTAAGAAGGTGTGGATTGGATTCATCTGGCTTTGGATAGGGACCAGTGGCGGGATCTTGTGGACACGATAGTGAATCTTCGGGAACCATAAAAGCGGGAATATTTTTTACCGTCTTAACAGGTATTGACTTCTAGAGAAATTGTTAAACCTGTAAGTTCTGATTTTATTTACAGTTCTACTGAATGTAACTAAATTTCAGTGTAAGGCTTAGTTTGATTGCAAATTTAACGGTAATTTACCTTCAGGTTTAATTACATATATTCTGTAGGTGAAGTTTGAAAGGACGTGCCTCTTCACTGCAGGATCTAGGATCAAATTTGTTCGGCGAGCTCCTAAGCTCCCACATGGCTTATAGCGGGACAGCTTTACTTTAATTTCTTTTTACGAAATCACGTGACTTTCTTGTGAGAAGGTGAGAGTGTTCAGAGATTGTTAATGTTGGCCTCGTGAAGGCTTTGGATGAAGACAGGTCACGTTTCCAATTAACATTGGTCTCCAATAACCACTCTCCAGCGTATTTGTATTGAATTTTCTGTACAAAATATGAAAAGAACTTCATTTCTAAATATACTAGTCACCCATTGAGGTGTGAAAATAATTCAGGGTACTTCAATCCTTAAAAGTTAAAAGTTGTTAACAGTCTGTCATACTCACTCAAATTCCAAAAGGTTTTCTACGTGTTAAAAAGAATTGAATGACAACCAAGGATTGTAACAAAAACAGCGATTGTATTGAAATAACATCATTGCGACTTTGCCTTCGACTGACAATGAACCCTCTGGGTGTTCTTCGCTGACGCTGGAGTTCAAGGAAACCAAACAACGCGAGGCAAGTACACTGAATTGGCGAACGTAATTTGGGCTTATAAGCATACTGAGGCATAAATGTAAATTCAACGGGACGTTGTATCAGATTATAAACTGCGGAAATAAAACTTCTGCGACGAGAGAAGGGTGCGTACAACGGCAAATTATTTAGAAGCAAAGAATTTGTCCTTCAGAGGAAGAGTTACAAGAATCAGGACACAGGGGCCAGAAATAATGAGAGAAGAAATCAGTTCGTTGGTTTCGTGAACTTACATAGAGATGGACTGAGGCCGGCACGTGCTATCAGTCGACTATCCGTTGTGTGAAAGAATGATTCTGACGTCACGTATTTTTGGTAAAAAGAAGTCTGAGTAATGGAATTAACAGTTGCAATGAATAAGTCAGAATAAATAAGAATTTATTAAAATTAGATTGAAAATTAAATGTACAACTTGTAAATGAAAGTCGTATGTAACAAATAATATTTCGAAGCTGTAAATATATCCTACGCGTCTGTTTAGCGGTTAGAACGCTGGCCTTGTAATCCTGGGGTCTCGGGTTCGATTCCCAGCGGTGCCCGAATTTATAACTTGTGTTGGGCAAGGCCGTGGTCTAGGCAACACGGAGTTTTCCTCCGTGGCATCCCAACAATTACTCCATTCACACACAGAAGAAGGCAATGGCAAACCACTTCTGGATCATCTGCCAAGAACGTATATGAACAGGTCCCAATCCGAGAAAAGGATGGAAGGATCCTGCTCATATGGACCTGTCCTCAGACAGAACACTAAAAATAAAAAAACACGGAGTTTTTCTCCGTGGCATCCCAACAATTACTCATTACTCCATACACACAGAAGAAGGCAATGGCAAAGCACTTCTGGATCATCTGCCAAGAACGTATATGAACAGGTCCCAGTCCGAGAAAAGGATGGAAGGATCCTGTTCATATGGACCTGTCGTCAGACAGAACACTAAAATAATAAATAAAAATAAATTATGACACAAAAATATCAATTCGTGAGTCAAATTCGCTGTATTTTTCGTTGTAAATTACCGCTCGAAGAAATGCGTATTAATTTGTCATTTCCCTCTGCATCGACGCAAACTTGAAGATGTCCCAGGTCAAGTTTGCGGGAGTTTAAAATACGTTTTAAGTCGTACGTGTTAAAGTTTAAGTTGGTCTGTTAATAATAGCTTCGAGTGACCACGCGATTCCCGTACTGTTTGCAGATCGTGTTGGGCTTGTCGGCCCTAATCGCCACCCACGTGCTGGCAGATGCTCTTGCGAACACCAAGAAACAGCTTGACCACGCCACGGCCAAGAAGGACAAACGGACCACCGTTTCTACATACGGCTACGGGGGAGGCTCCGGACAACACGGAAGCGCCGGACTCGGTTACGCTCCGACATTTTCCGGCCTCAACTTCGGTCACTTCCCAGGTGTCGGATTGTCTTCTGGCTTCGGCCACGGAGGATTGTCTCTTGGTGGCGGAGGGCTGGGTCACGCGTTACTCCTCCAAGAAGGACATGGTCTGAGTGGCCTCAACTTTGGAGGTCACGGTTTAGGCCAGCCACTTCTTCTTCAAGGCAGTCATGGATTTCCGTCGTATGGAGGTATCAGTGGCCTGAGTCTCGGTGGCGGCCACGCCACTGTCTCTGCGCCTATAGCAATTGCCCCAATACTTGCACAAAATTCCGCCAAACTTGGCCCGGTAACATTTGGTATCGGTACAGGCGGGTACTCGGTTGGGTCTTCCACCCCTTTTGGCCACAACGGGGGCAGCCTTAGCTACAGTTCTCCTAGTATCAGTAGCGGTTACAGCGCTCAAATTCCACTTGGCCTCTCAGCGTCTTCGGGATCTTCTTCCTACAGCTCGCCTGCCGTCAGCCAGAGCGCCTCCTCTCTTGGAGGATACAATGCGCCTTCAAGTACCTACAGCGCTCCGTCTACCAGCTACAGCTACAATGCTCCCTCAACGCTGGGCACCTACGGATCTGCAGCGTCATATTCGACACCCTCCTCCAGTTTGGGAAGCTACAGCTCGGGGGCGAACTACGCTGCTCCAAGTGTAAGCCAGGGTTCAGGATACTCCTACAGCGCTCCGTCCAGTAGCCATGACAGTACCAGCAGTTACACCGCTCCGTCTCGCTCACAGAGCGCGTATACTTTGGCGCCGTCCAGCTACTCTTCAGCTGGTAGCAGTGGACATCCGAGTATAGCGTCTTCATATTCATCTGGAGGGTACAGCGGAACAAGTGGTTCTTACGGCAAGGAGTACTTGCAGTAACAGACAGTTCGTATGACAATTTTGCTTCTCTCGCGCGACTGAAGCTCTTTAAGTGTTAACTTTCGTATGACATTTCTGCTTCTCTAGCGCGACTGAAGCTCTTTAAGTGTTAACAAGAGGACATCGCCCCGTGGGTTGAAGTGCGATTTTACCGAAAGTATTTTCCTCGCCACACTAGATTCTTATTCCAATAACATTAGCCTTTGTTAACATGATATTAGCATTAATCATTTCAGACGTCATATCATCGCACCAAGACAATACCATGATTAAATATGTCATTCAATTTTTATATGCCGTTCTAATACATGTTATTAGATGTTCACCTGAGTATTACATTTTAAGAATATTAATTACTGTTCACGCCTTCTAAAGTGCCGTGAATAATAGGCATCACAGATAAAACGTATTTGGAGTTTTAAATAAATTTGCATACATCAGTAGTTCAGGTTACCATGCCAGGGAAATGTTCTGTATGCCAAATTATTCTTTGAATGAGGTAAAATTCTCAAATTAAATGTTCAAGGCTGATTAACAGTAGAAAACAATTATTTTTTTTTAGATATCTTGAGAAAGGAATACGCTCATCGAAGACAATTTACGTACGCGGTTGTTCCAAAAGCTTTCGTAATATTTATTCCTTTTTGAAACTCAGTGTTGGTGTATAGCTCGCCATCTTTCCCTCAATCTCTGACCCCTCTGTTTACCTGCCTTTACCCATTTTGTGTATATATTTTCATTTATTTCTACATATAATAATCACATCAACTTTAATACTCGCTCATAAGTTTCTCAGGTGCTTTGAACGTCCATATGTCATTTTCATGATCATTTTCATTTCCGCCAATATTAAGTTACTGTCATCTTGATCATACGAATCGCTCTTCGCAACCAATGGGCGTGCACTTACCTAGTTGCTTTAAGAATGTGAACTGAATTAATTGTTCCAGTACACTTTGTTTGATATTTGTATTTTCCTCTTTGTATTATGTTTTTTTTTTGGTTTTATTACGCTTTTACACTTGTCAATAAAGGATTTTTGTATCATTATTTTATGTACAAATAAATTACTTGGCCAATTTATTCAGCACGGCCTTACTGGTAGCTTACATGTGAAAAATAGTTGCTGAATTGAAGAAAAGAGACGTGAGCTAATATTATGCCACTACTAAAGTAATTTTAAACATTTCTCCTTTCCACTGTCTCCTGCATGAAAAACTGTTGGGTTCTCTCGTAAAAATATCACGTTATTTTAACCTCAACAGATGTACGCATTTACCGAATTGTTAAGCTACATCCTTGCGATATCGCAACGTCGTCTTAATACAGGCAGAAATGTTTCCAGCCGAAACGTCGGCCGACACTATTGTGTTAGTATTGATGCCAACGGTTGAGCCAACTTTCTCCGGAACCAGCTGCACAAATTTTCACTCCACTTTTACGAAGGTCAGAGCCAAACAACGCACCGTCTACCGAGTTCCAATGAACTTACACTTGTTTCTGTGACCCAATTACAGCTCATTCCTCGTGAAATTCGAAAGATAATTCAGAGAACGTATAAAAGAACTGAAACTCTATTGTTTCTTGTATCTCTGCAACAACAGCACCAGTGCGAGGGGGGGGGGTCGAAGTGATACTGTCATTAACGTTAGCCTTGTAATCGTGGGGTCCCGGGTTCGATTCCCGGCGGTGCCCGAATTTATAACTTGTGTTGGGCAAGGCCGTGGTCTAGGCAACACGGAGTTTTCCTCCGTGGCATCCCAACAATTACTCCATTCACAAACAGAAGAAGGCAATGGCAAACCACTGCTGGATCATCTGCCAAGAACGTATATGAACAAGTCCCAGTCCGAGAAAAGGAT